TGTTAACTTTTTTTTTTTTTTCTATTGTGGGTTTTGATTTTTCCCCCTCCCAGAAATTGGTTTTATTTGATGTACCCAAGTCTTAAGTTTCTCAATAAAGAAAAAAAAACCTCCATAAAACTGCCTCTGTCTTATCTGTCTTACTCTGACCACAGTTTTAGTTTATAAATCTGTTTTCACTAAAAGTAATTTTAGGATGTAAATAGGGTCAAGGGAAGTTCTGTATAGCTTATCCTTTCCTGAGTGTTATAAGCAGGCTGTTTCAGGTTAACTAGGTGTACAGAACTGTCTCATTCCATGACATTCTATTATGGGAGCACCTTTGTATTGGCCCCCATTTAAGGGACCAGGAGTCTGGTCAGAATAGACCTTGGGTCTGGTTCAGGGCTGGCACATTTCTGAAGGATGTATGAGATATGCCGAACCTGGCCCCTCTTGCCTTGATGTGTTGGGGGCGGGGGTTGTCATTCCCTTCCATTTCCTAGGACCGTTTGTCCTGCATGCAGGTCAGCAGGTTTAGCTGCCCAGATTCTGCAACTACGGTTTCCTCAGGCCGTGGGAAGAGGCTTGGGAGGTAGGTCTGAGTGACAACGGCAAACAAGTGCTGAAGTCTAGGTGTTTTGTAGTTCCTCGAGTCCTCAAACCACCGTAATGTGGCCAAGGTCAACCGGCCTGTTTGCCTTCCTGTCCTCCAGGAACTGCCTTTCTTGAGCTAGGCAGGCTGCCCTGCTCAGGACCTTACCCACAGCCCCTTTCCTTGGCGTGTTCTCCTTTTGGCGGGCTCCCCCTTTTTCTTAAGGTCTGGTTCACCTTAACTCATCTAAAGGCTCTATCTACAGTAGATTCCCGCATTTCCTGACGACTGTGGTTAATTCAGCTGTGTGTTTGTGTTTTCTATTATCTGACTGCCCCTCTGACCCCTAGCTCCATAGGACCTGGTCGGTGCAGCATCTGCGAAAGTGGGTGAGGAGATGGGGCCCTGGTGCTGGCTTCCTGCGGAAGAGCCCGGGAGTAAGATGGCTGCTGCCACGAGGGTGCTCTACGGGGGTGACCCGGTGTGGGGGCGAGGTGGGGTCTTCACTGGCAAGGCCTCGATTGAATTGAGGTGGTTGGTGGCACCAGGCAGTGTCTGGCATGGTCCAGACCAAGTCTTGTATGGGACTCTACCCCCTCAGCCTGTGAATGGGCTGGTGACCTAACAGCTTGGCTGGTCCTAGCACTGACCCTTTTCCCGGCTGACCCTGGACCCAGAGAGGTGGTGGGATTTGTTCTTGTGACCTCGGACCACATCCCAAACTCACTCTCCCATTCATTCCATAAGCTCCGCAGCCCTGGCCCCTTAGATGAAGGCATTCCCGGAATAGCTGGGGAATTCGGGAAACAGTCTCACTGTGCCGGTTGGTTGGCACTGATCTGTGACTGTATGATTGATAGTGTTGGAGAGGGTCGGGCTGGCTTTCAGGGAATGACTCCATCCGGAACGGTGAGGACAAACATCCTGGAGGCGCTGAGGCCAGCGCTGGGTTTGAAAGATCAGGACTGAGGCGGGCAACCCAAGGTGGGAGCAGGGCTTTCGCCTGAACGGAGAGCAGCAAGAGCAAACACCCAGCGGGGTGAAGTAGCCTAGCATTTGGGGGGCAAATAGTATGCACTGGGGAAACGAGAGGTTCCGGTTATGAAGGACTTAAATGCCATGCTAAGGAATTTGTGGGCCTTGGTGAACTGGGGAGTATTAAGCAGGGCAGTGATGTAATCACATTTGTGCTTTCTTGGAAACATTCTGGTGGCTGTATAAAAGAGAGAGAACCTGGAGGTGGTGAGCCCATCTAGAAAGCTCTTCTTGGGTCTTCAGGGAAGTCATGATGCATTTTTGCATTGAAAAACAGGAAAATACGTCATGACTTTCCCAATGACCCAATAGTAACCAGGGGCTAGGTGCGGGTCTGAAGGTGGATGGGGAGAAGTCATTTTGTATACATGACTGTAGGGACCCTTCCTGTTCCTCCCGGTAGCTGTCTTGCTAACAAATTGCTGCAGCAGCTGTACTAAGAGTAGAGGACATTTTAGTTCAGAAGGTTCTTGGTATCTTTGCAGGTGGGCTGGCAGAGGAGGTGGATGACGAACTTCATACTTCCTTTATTCCTTTTGGAGACATCACAGATATTCAGATTCCACTGGATTATGAAACAAGTGAGTCTTCA